TCATGAGTTTTCTATAGTTTTCTGAGTACAGATCCTTTGCCTCTTTGGTTAGACTTATTCTTTGGTATCTTATGGTTTTGGGGGCAATTGTAAATGGGATTTACTCCTTAATTTCTCTTTCTTGTTATTGTTGGTGTATAGAAATGCAACTGATTTTTGTGCATTGATTTTATACCCTGACTCTTTACTGAATTCCTGTGAGTTCTGCAGTTTTGGGGTGGAGTCTTTTGGGTTGTTCACATACAGTATCCTATCATCTGCAGAGTGAGAGTTTGACTTTTTCTTTGCCTATTCAGATGACTTTTCTTTTTGTTGTCTGATTGCTGAGGCTAGGACTTCCAGTACTGTGTTGATCAGCAGTGGTGATAGTGGACATCCCTGCCATGTTCCTGACTTTAGGGGAAAACTTCTCAGTTTTTCCCCCACTTAGAATGATTCGCTGATGGCTTTTATGATATTAAGGTATGTATCCTTTATCCCTACACTGTCAAGAAAGGATGCTGTACTTTTCAAATGCTTTTTCTGCATCTATTGAGAGGATCATATGGTTCTTGTCTTTTCTTTAATGTATTGTATCACATTGATTGATTTGTGGATGTTGAACTAAACTTGCAGCACAGGAATAAATCCCACTTGGTTGTGGTGAATAATCCTTTTAATGTACTGTTGGATCCTATTGGCTAGTATTTTGGTAAGAAGGAAACATGCTTTCCATTACTTTTGTTTTTCCATGGTAAGCACTTAACTAACAGGGTAGGAAGGCAACTGTTCTCAGCACTGGAAGATTTAAAACTATTGTATCTCATGATCATTGTAAATGAGATTACAAAATAGCTCACCTTAACGTTGGGATTTACTTTCTACTTGTTTCATTAAGATTTTTTTTTCACTAATCTCTGATAATTGAAGATCAGTTAGAATGAAACAAATTTCTCTGTAGTTTACAAATGAGGTTGATTTGTGATTGATCTTCTATACCCCACAACTGGTCTCCATTGAGAGGATTCTGAAGCAGGAATGCCTTAGGAAACATTAGAGCCAGTGCTGATTAAGGCTGTGGTGAGTGCTGGAAACTATGCAAAACTGGGAGTAAACCCATCTGTTCTGAGGAATTGTTTGTACTTTTCACAACTTTTCCCCATGAAAATCTAATTTATCTCAACCATCTTGTAAATACCTCAATTAAAAAAAAAGGCATTAAGATATAATCAATGAAAGATAGGATTGCTTTGAATTCCTAGAGAACTGTGCAATTGACTATCTTGGGTTCTTGTGGATATTAACTTCTATTTTCTTGAAAATTTCTTTGCCTTTTTGTAACTTCTCAGAATACACTTCATCCCATTAAGCTTTACGTTATTATTTTACTCTGTCCTTCTCTTCCAGTGAAGCTTCTGGAAAGTCTAAACTTACTTTCATGTCTTTCCTTCCTTAAACTCCAGTAAGCTGGCTTTAGTTTATTCCGAAAGTTCTATTGAAAAGATCACAAGATGTAATGGATATTTTGCTGAATCTCTGTAGCATCTGGAATTGTTGGTTACTGAGCTCTGGAGCCAGATGGCTGGGTTTGGTTTCAGCTCCCTGCTTACTGGCTACATGGATGTGGACAGTCTACTCAACCATCCTGGGCTTTATTCTATGTGTCAAACTGGGGTAACACAAGGCTCTTGAAATGTAGCAGACTACTGCCCTTACTACTAAACCTAGATTCCCATGCTGCTCTTGATTTCCTCTTGCTTCTGTGACCCTGCTCCATCAGCCTTTAAATGATTCCCCAAGATCTTATCGGTCTGGTGCTCTGTCCCCTTCTTGGGTAATTTAATACAGAATCACTATTCTGATTATTCCAATGCAAATCACTGGATGCTGATCATTCCCAAATCTGTCTCCAGACATTTCCCCAAGTTTCAGGTTGAAATCATCCCCCATCCCTGTCATTTATATACATTATATACATATATATACATTTATATACATTATATACATTTAAGCTCTATGCTTCTGATTCCAGTCTTTGTCCCTCCTTAAATTTATTCTCCTCTGGCCAATGATTTATATAGAATCCAGATCTGACCATGCTGCATACCCTGGTATACTGAGGTACATAAACCAGGTAGAGCCTCCTATTAACCAGCCTCTACCACCTTTCCAACTTCTGCCCATTTCCATCTCATATGAGCAATACTGAACACTGCTACCCTAGGTCCCTGGCATAACTTTCATTTTTTCTTATTTCATGCGATAATTATTTGTTTCTGGGTCTGCACATTTTCCAAGACAAGACTTTCTAACTTACCTTTGTATTTTTTAATGTTTCCCCTCAAATTCCTGGGGAACATGTGAAAAAAATGTTTTACTCCAGTTCCATCCCAGTCTCTTCATTTACATTTAGTTGGAAGAAAAGGATATACTGGGGAAGTACTCATGCCAACAGCTGTGTTTATGCAACATCTTTACCAACATACTTTTACAGGTGACTAAAAGTATCTGCAGTAAATGAGTGAGTTCAAACACTGAAATGCATATCTGCTTTCATCAGGGGTTTGAACTGTGGGCATATGTTAATGTATCCAAATGTGGAAATGGAGCACTGAACAAAAAGATCAGGAAAAAGACATTTTATAAACAACATTAGGTGACCCTGTGATGTATTTTTTAATTAAACCCAATGGCCCTATTAAAATTAATCAAATACCATTCAAAGTACTTGAGAGTTAAATTATATACATACATTCAAAAACTATTTTCAAAAGGGTATATAATACAGGTAAATAATACTTCATATTCACTATTTCACCTACCAGGAAGGTAGGTAGGGCACTACCTAAAATAAAAAGAATACAAGTGATTTGGGAAGTGGGAAGACAGGTTAGGTATACATAGAAATGATTTCAAATGCTTTCCCTTAGCAAGAATTTATTTAATTCTTCTATGTCCAGCATAGTTGGACACTAGCTCAGTTTGGATCCAGAGCAAGAAATGAAAATGATAGTGGCATCTCTCTGATAATTTTCATAGAGAATGTTGACATCCTGTTTTAGTTCCTGGTATAGGGAAGAAGCAAAGCACTAACAACAGGTACTGTTTTTCTCAATCTGTCCAAGTAATAGCATTTTAAGATTTCATATACCAAAAATTCCCTCCTAAAATTTTTGTTTTCCTGTTTCTCCAAGAAATTCCCACATTCCCAGTAAGTTCTTACTTACTACAAGTTAAAGTTAAGAATGTGTGTAAAATCAACAGACACGTTCTACACAAAATATAAGAACTTTATTTTGATATAATAACAAACTAACTGGTGGTTTGAAATCCTATCTGAGAACTTAATTTGTGTCAAAAGAGGAGAAAGTAAGAGTTCTTTTTTGGGATTATAATGGGGGGGGTGGGGGGATTCTAGTTTGAAACTGTAAATGAAATGCAAATTTGAGCCACCATGGAGAAATGTGTAATTTGCTTGCTTATATGTGCAAATTTGAAACGCAATCTATTAACCATGAAAATAAATCAATTATATTTGTCAAAAGAATGAAACATATTCATTAGCTATATTGTGGAGTCTTTGGTTACAAAACAGATTAAAGCAAAAGCTAAGGTAAATGTGAATACATTCTAAGATATGAAACCTTGTCAATTTTATCTCTAATAGGAAACTCCTATACATACTAAACTTATTTAACAGCATGGAGATTAATACAACTTTCAAGACAGACCTTAAAATCTTTAATAATAAGAAAAAGTATTTTAAATTTTCTTCAAGTTTGAACATTTTAGAATGGTGAAGCCTAGCCAAAAAAATCTAATATACAAGTAAAATTAACAAAATGATCAAGGCAGGCTTTCAGCGTGGTTTTTAGGTACCAAAAGAATGTGCTTATCTCAATAGCAAATAGAATATTGCTATTCTATGGTAAGACATGACTTGATTCTTTACTCTAAAAGGCCTAAATTAGTAGGAAAAGGAAATACTATTTCTGTTTTTACAAACATATTTTTAATTCACCCTTTTAAGAGAAATGTCCCTCATTCTTAGGAAAAAGGGAGAAACAAAACCAAAAAACATGCTGAAAGATTAGGGTCATTAATTTAGCTTTGCCTAATACATTGTGTAACAACAGCTACACCCAGTGGCCAGAAATGAGTAGCGAAGTTTTGCAGCTATAATGTTATGGTAAAAGGTAAATTCAGAAATAGGGATTTTTTGATTTATTTACGGTTGTAGGGTAAGGGTTATCTTTCATTACAAATTGTTTTATAGAAACACTCAAGAATTTTGGGGTGGGGGGAGGGCAGATGCCTTGGCTCATAAGCTTGAAACAAGCTTGAAACATGAATTCAGTTTTTAGAAGTAGCTAAAATAAAACTCAAACCAGAGAGAGAACATACAGATACTTTATTGCTCACCTTTCACACAAAGCACACCTCCAGCCATTTTCTTTCACAGCTTGACAATGTTTATGTATACAAAAACCCAGCAAGAAGCTTCATGTTGGTTTCAGTAAAGGAGAATGTAAAACATCAACTCAGCCAGGCTTTTGTTTTCTGCAGCAATAATAAAGGGCCTCCTGCACTAAGCAAAAATCTGTCCTCTTACTTGGTAGTGCATTTCTTCCATTACAAAAAAAGTCTCCTGCCCAAGGCAAACTAACTTGTGTTTGCTGAGCCAGTGGTATTAACTCGTGCATAAAACAAATTTCAGTTTGCTGTTTCTTCTAACAGATTTCAAGTAAAAATAAGGTTTAAGGAGGAACTTGTTTTGAATGGATGCAGGTCAGTCTGAATTGCTATACTATATAAATGCCTACATGTACTATAGGTTCACAACTTAGTTTTTGCTTTTATAATCTTTACGGATTTTGGCCATGTTCAAGGTTTTCAGAATTGAGCATATGGTACAGTATTCCATCAAAAGGATAAGGCTACTGAATGTGCTATCTGCAGAAGAGCTCATTTAATAGGAACTGACTTAGTCTATCATGAAGCAAATGTAGCATAACCTCTGAATAAAAAGCCAATCAGGGCAGAACTGTGCTTGGAAAATAGGTGTTAGAATACTTTCAGGAAAACACATACAAATGGACTGTTAATATGAGGAAGGTTTCCTAGTTGAAAATCTAAAAAAATCTAGGAGAATCCTCATTTCCAAAAAACCCCTTTTTTGAAAACTACTTATTCAAGTAATTTCTTCCCAAAAAAGTATGCATGTTCTGACTGTGGAATTAGTCTATTGGTCAGTTAAAGGCAATTTTAATTACCTTTTAAAAAATTCTTTATATAAAGGAGATGTTGTACGTGTTTCTCAAACAAACTTCGTTATGTAAGTCCTTTAAAAAAAAAAAAAAAAACAACAAACCCACAAACAAACCCAACTGAACTGAATGAAGACCTACAAATACTTATCCCAAGCAGGAATCTGCCTGCCACCTGTGGGCTCACATTAATTCAAAATTGATGCTGGACTCAGGATTCTGAAACTAAGTTTCTATTACTTGAGCTCTAGCAAAAGTATAAGGTTTTGTAGCCTCAACTAGTATAATGTCTTCCCTGTCCAAATCCAGAATGATTATACTGATAACCTCCATGCTGGAAATGCTGTTCAAATTGTCCCCCTTGGTGATAATTCTGGCTCCCCCTCCCCCCCCAACCTCCTCCCTGGCCTCCACGTCCACCTCGGCCTCCGCGACCCCCTCTCCCTCCACGACCACTGCCTCGATCATTATGGTGCCCACCATCTTGGTATCTATTGTCCTGCTGATATCCACCACCCTGGTATCCACTTCCTGTATATGTTGATGTTTGGAAGCCACCATAACCACCGCCTTGATAGCTACCACTGTGGCCACCACCATGATAGCCACCTGGCTGGAAACCCGAATCTCGATAACCACCATCTTGGTAGCCACCTCCTCCTCCACTCCCTCCATCTGTCCAGCCTCCTTGATGTTTATTTCCTCTTCCTCCCCCTCGGCTACCATGGTCGTAGCCACCACGTCCACCTCTCCCTCCTCCTTGTTCATGACCTCCTCGTCCTCCATATGAGGAATGTTCATAACCACCTCTCCCTCCTCCTCGGCCTCCTGCTTGCTGCTGGGGGCCATCTTGCCTTTTCTGCCACGGTGGCATCTCTGGAGGTGGAGGTTCAATTTCATTGGGTCTACCTCCTCTGTCAGGCACCCTGCCCATCAACACCTATGGGATAAGAAAACTATTTTAAACTACTGTATTTTATAAATAGAAATGAATGTATCTGAAAGAAAATTAAAGGTACTTCAATCACCTTATTGATGGCACAGGCAGTCTTTTCTCTTATAGAGCCACTGCTTGTCCTTAAAATCTTCGACAAGTCTTGTCTTGCAGCCAAAAGGTGGGCAACAGAAATAGTACTTTTAGGAGACAAAACTGAACGTTTTGGCTGATAAACCTTTGCTAATTTCTCTGTCTGACTCTGTTGAAACAAAGTGTTCAAAGACAAAAGTCAATTTTCAAAATGACAACACTGATTTTTTTTTTTTTTTTTTAATTTAAGAGAGAATGAGAGCTAGAGAGAGAGGGGGCATTCTTTCTTTTCTTTTTTAAAAAGATTTTATTTGAGAGCGAGAAAGAGAATGAGAGGAGAGAGGTCAGCGAGAGAAGCAGACTCCCTGCTGAGCTGGCAGCCTGATGTGGGACTGGATCTCAGGACTCCAGGATCATGACCTGAACCGAAGGCAGTTGCTTAACCAACTGAGCCACCCAGGCGCCTTACAGAGGGAGAGGGCATTCTTATAGAGGGAGAGAGAGAGGAAGAGAAGCAGACTCCCCACTGAGCAGGAGCCCAGTGTTGGGCTCAATCCCAGGACCCCGGGATTACGACCCAAGCTGAAGGCAGACGCTTCATCAATGGAGCCACCCAGGTGCCCCAGAAACATTGATATTAAATAAGCTAAAGACTTCCAAAATGTCTGATAATAATAGTTATTAGGCTTAAGATGGGAGGATAAAAGTTATACTCACCATTGTTCCTACCTAGTCAAGAAATACCCTAAGACACAGCTGTTAAGAACCACAGTATTACTGCCTCACTTGCTGCACAGTATCAAGTAGACAGTTTTTTAGCTAAGAGGTGCAGACTCTTGTTTCTGAATGATTGTTTCTATCAAAGATAACATAGGAAAAGGACAGCTGTTTCCTACACAAGGGCCACAGGAGAGAACAATTTGCTCCTGGTGTTGCTACTGACTAGCTGTGAGATCTCAGACAAAGCCTCCCATTTACTGGTCTCCAGTTGTTTTTTTTGTTTTGTTTTTCACTTGCAAAATGAGGGGAGTTAAGACTGATCTCAAACACCCTTTTCCAACACTGAAATATTGTAATTCGGTAAATACCTTCCCCAACAATTTTGCAGCCAAACAGGTCTGTGCCAACGTTTAAAGATTTTAGGCGAAAATAACATTATTTAGGAGAACTACATAGGGCACTTGGGTGGCTCAGTTGGTTGGGTGACTGCCTTCGGCTCAGGTCATGTCTCCGGAGTCCTGGGTTCGAGTCCCACCTGGGGCTCCCAGCTCTGCAGGGAGTCTGCTTCTCCCTCTGACCTCCCCTCTCAAGCTCTCTCTCCCTCTTAAAAAAAATAAAATCTTAAAAAACAAAAAAACTACATAAAAATTTTTTGGGGAGTCAAAAAAAAAAAATCTGTTTTCAAACATGAATGCACTATTAAGGGAACATATAATACACAAATGGACCAACCTCCCCATAAGTTCAAGGATTAATTCCATTTCAGGGTCCTAAGGATGTGAAGTCATTTGTACCAATTACTTTCTGCTCACTGATCATACAGTAGATACTTAATAAATACCTGTTGAATGACCAAGATCTTTACCTGGATTATCTCATCTAGTCTGAAGTAAAACTGAAGTCTTACTAGATTCTCCAATTCTCTATAAATATTTAGAAATCTGGTCTTGCTAAATCCAGTATTTCTAATTCTGTTAGCTTTAAGTATAGTAAATGAGTAATATAAAAATTGTTTTAGTGAAAAAAAATTATTTTAGTGATATTTAGTCTTAGTGATTTTCAAATACTCTGTTTCTCTTACAAGTAAGTCCTCCCAGTAGGGTCTAAAAGATATCATTTTGTTAAAAAATATTAAAAAGTGAAAAATAAATGTTTTCATTATTCCTGGAAGGCCGAAAGAATTGCTACTCAACAACTCACTGAAGAAAACTTCCTGTGTGTCTCCTATGCATTTCTCTTTAGTCTTCACTGTATCTAACCTGTGCTATGAATGTTCAAGTCTCATGTCTATAAATATTCTGCTCTTTAAAAATATTTACTATGGGGTGCCTAGGTGGCTCAGTGGGCTAAGCAGAAGCCTTTGGTTCAAGTCATGAACTGAGGGTACCGGGGATGGAGCAGTAAATCATCAGGCTTCCCGTTCCGATCACCCTCTCCTTCTGCCCCTCCCCCTAGTTTGTGTACTCTCTCTTAAATATAAATAAATAAATAAATAAATAAATAAATAAATAAATAAATAAAATATTTAATATGTACCTTAGCTCTGTCAGACCAGCCAAAAGACTGGACAGTGACATCCAAACGTTTTATTAGCAGCTTTCTCCGAACTTCATATTCATTGGCTATGGCTTGGTTAATTGCTTCTATCTTTTCCTAAAAAGGAAATTTGAAAGACCAGTTAGAATTTAAATGTGCCTGACACACTGTTTCAAAAGGGCAGAGACCATGTCTCTTTTATTCATAACTGATTCCCCAGCACTTAACACAAAACAAATTACTTAATATACTACTAAAAGTTATTATAAGTTGATTAAATAATAGGCTAAATAATACCTCAAAACATAATAAAGATTAAGTAGAGAATTCTTATTTAGCCTTCCCATAATTTGCCATGTGAAGTTGAGCCCAATGACGTTTTTGGCTTGAAGGCAACCCATTTGGCAATTAAAAACATACTGAACTTCAATTTATTTTGACCAGCTATGTGAAATATTTACAAATTATGAGGTAAGTGTTTCTAACCTTCCACAAATAAAATTATTCTGAATAAATCTTCAGATTCACGAAAATGGAGTCTAAGAATGTCCACCTAGGAAACTACATATTGGAAAACATAACCTCAACAGCACAAACTCTGTCAACATCATGAGATAGGTAAGTGGTTCTTTACCAAGAGTACTCAAGATGACTGCTACTCACCCAGTGGGCTGGTCCCATTGGCTTCTTCAATAAAGGCTTTCCCACATGGTTAGGTGGAACTTTTGCTAATGTCTCCTTTAACTGACACAAACACATAAATGAATGAATAAACAAATCTAAAAGTACAACATATCCTCCTCATCTTCCCAATTCCCATCATATCTTGCCATCAAAAGAAGATTCCTGACAGAGGCAAAGGTGGAGGATGTTTTGAAATGTACAGGACCCACACGATAAAGACACTCACTTGTCCCACTCCTCACGTGCCTAAGGAAGCATGATTCCTTCACTGTACCTAGAACAGTGCCTGACAACAGTAGGCACTCAATGTGTATTTGTTGAATGGATGAATGAACACACAGAAAAATATGGACTATGGATACAGTGCTGCTCCCCTGTAGAGTTCAGCCAAATTTGTGCATCATGGTGTCCATCTACCCCACAATGCAAATGTACCAATTCTTGGAGTCCAGCAGATATGCATACAGAGAGTAACTCTGCTATAATAAATATCATTCTTATAGTCATTAATTTATTAAAGTTGCTTCTTCCTAGTCAATTATATTTAAAAAACCTCTTAACTATTAATGTGTGGCATAAAAATAATTCTGACTTATTTTCACATACTAGATTATGTTAGTAGTCAATAAACCTAGTTTGCCAATTGAAACATAAGATTCAAATGACTGGATTAAAAACCAAAAACATTTACATCCCTTTCTGTCCAGTCAATGAAAAGAGGGTGGTAACATTTAATGATCGAGTACTTAAAAATTGCGTCAAAGTTCAATGATAAGATTTTAAAAAGGACTTAAGTCTTCATTCTTTTTACATTATACCTAGTTTATTTCAGCTTATAAATCAAAGTGTAAATTTTCCTTTTTGAAAAAGAAACATGCTAACAAGTTAAAAATAGTAAAATACTAATTTCTCTTTAAGGTATTGAGGATTTAAAACCCAAAACTCATTTAGTACAATGAATAATAAGCACATTAGGTTCCCATTAAGAGAAATTAACTTGCTTCATTTCAAACAAATGTAGGACTATGCCTTTAATACACTACAATCTGGTACTAAAGGTCTTACTTTTTTTTCAATCCCGCTGAAGAATTGGAACATAGTTATATTGGCTGGAGGTTTGGACATTCCTAGAGCAATACATATGCCTTTCAACTCTTGAAAGACCTCACTACCGCCTCCTTCTTGAGCTTTTTTTGGAGGAGTATTCACACAGAGCATTCTGGCAGCTTCTAGTTCTGAGATGAGGTATGCTGAAGTAAACAAAATAAGATTTCAAAATGAGATACAGCTACAGTTAATAATCATAAGTCTGGAGTCACAACTCTATAGACCTAATGATACGTAACTTTTAAAGCTGCAAGAATGGATAAAAACAAGAAAAGAAAACCATTTTTACCTGCAAATGACATAACATATAAACTGGTTCTGTAATTCAGGTATTTAATCAATATATGTTTAAAGGGTAATTTATAAATAAGTGATTCTTCTTTGAAACCAAAGTATCAAGGTAGATCACATCTAAAAATCTGGATTCTTATAACCCACTATTTAGGAACTCCAGAACAGGGGTTGGCATCTGTTAACAACTTTACAAAAGGTGGAAGGTAGCCAACTTCAGCAACAGTTGGAACCGGTTTTTATTATTTACTTCTCACCACTGACATGCACCAGTGATACAACTCTCTTGTTCTCTTACCTTCCAATACTTAAGCAGTCTGTTCAGAACTGGCATAAAATATTTTCAAGTGGTCAAAACTTAATTTACAAAAGGGGGAAGACACGAAACTCCCCAAAGCTCCTTTCTCATGGCTTCCAGTAGCCTAATGCCACCCTCTCTGTTTAAAGAAAACTTTTCTTTCATCTATAAAAACTCTTCTCAGTATTCCCTTTCTTCCTACCTTCCTCACTCTCCCCCCACTCCTGAAAAATAGTATCAACAAAACTTTCTAATCTTTTCTTAACAGAAAATATCAATGATATCAATATCATCCCCTCATGTGTTGATTTCAGCCAGGCATAATGACAGCTGCAATCTGCTTCAGGTAACTGAGGGTATAAATATCCAATCTTATTGCTTTAACTTTAAAATTTTTATGAAAGGACATTTAAATTTTTATGAAAGATGGTTAAAGGGATCTTAGGACTTCAGGTTATGTGACAAAGTGAGAACCTTCTGATAACATTAGAATGATAGCTTTGGAAAAAATATTTTCTGGGCTCTTAAGTCCTATTAAAAGTTCAAAAGAATGATCAGCTTGAGTATCTCATTTCCTACACCTAAGGTGTAATGCTAGAACAATAAATACAGCTAAGTTTCTGCAAAGATCATTCTAAATGGCTTTGATAAAATCTTAGTGTGTTCCGCATAGCGAACTATAGGAGTTAAAAGATCAAAAAAGTAAAACACCACTGTCATGAAAATAACCACTGTTTTTCTAAAGATTTTACTGGAACATTACCACACTCATTTCCATAATCTCTGTGGCTAGTATATGCTACAATAGTGGAAGTTAAGCAGTTGTGACAAAGACCCTATGGCTCACAAAGCTGAAGATATTTACTGTCCCAACCTTTAAAGAAAAAGTTTGCCAACCCTTGTTCTAGAAAATCATATGATTTAATAAACTCGTTCTCTAAATTTGGGACCACATTAACTCAGGCATCCACAAAATTAGTTCACCAATACAATACAATTACCATCAAAAAACATTATCTCTTACTGATGTGTTCAAAGTACCAGGAAGGACACTGGAGATATAATATAAAGCAAACAAAACAGATGATCTCTACTAACAATCTAGTTAGGAATAAAGAATATACACATTCATGATGAGTAATTCTTCATCTATTAGGAACTCAGATATCTGACTTTTTTTTTTTTTTTTAACCTAAGGGAAATAATCTGACAACCAGGGAGGCAATAAATAGCCAAAACTTCTTCACCAGACACAAAAGAGTTTTTTGCCGCCCATTCAAAGACTATTCTATTTTACTGACAATTCAATGAGATTGGTTATTTTCCCCCTTGGAACAACATACTAAAAGATTCAAATCAGTAAGGTAAAGGGTGCTGGAGAAATAAGTGAAATTATAGCATCAAAAGGTGACAACTGATACTTGGAAAGATGAGAAATATTTATACAGAGAAAATAAGAGAATGAGCACATAAATACTAGCACGACAGAGAATACAAACTGAGGGAAACATTTTAAAAGGGAAACAGCCAAAAGCAAAGAAAAAGAGAAGTGAACAGTGTACGTGTCCATGAATTCCAAGAGCAGCATAACCTTTAGTTGGTTTTAGTCATTCAGTTGAGAAGCAAATAGTTGTGTATTACTGAGGCGATAAATTATTAAAGTCTATAAATTGTAACCCCAAATCCAAAATAATAGGGCAGTCCTTTTAAGTAACCGGAAGGAGTCAGAGGCATTTTATAAAGATTCATATTCAAAGTGGCCTTTGTAAGTCGGAACACTAAACAGGCCAAACTCTGAGCTCCTTGAAAGAAATTAGTTATTCATGGTCGTTAGCAAGTCTTCCATGAAGTTCTTATCTTCCTATGTAAGATAACATATCCTGAGTGTCAAATACTAGGTTTTGGTAAGCAGTGTTACAAAGGAAGAATAAGTGAGTACACTGTGGCTGAGCCAGTTACAGAAATCACACAATCTGAAGGATACTGAATGCATGCGTAAGAACAACATGCAGCAATATCAGTATTTAAAGCAGTATCTGACCTATGTATCCACCTCCCATCCTCCATAATCATTCAACAAAGGGGAAATTATGTTAAGTGACTCTGGAATAACTCGGTGCCTTGGTATAATGGCAATGAATACATTTTCTTTTTTTTTTTTTTTTAACTGAACCTTCAAAATGGGAGCTGTCTCATTTTTCCGAAACCAGTACAGTTGGAAAGACAGTATTTTAAAAATCCTCTGTACTGTGTTTGTCACATAAGAACTATAATATTCATTTAACCAAAGCTTATTCTGAATGTGTCTCAGGCTGCTATAAAAATTCTGAGTTAAGACTATTGGTTGTGGTTGCTGGAGAGTTCATTTAAGGCAATAAAATTTGTGAGTTTACTTACTGTTTTTCGGGGTGAAGAAAGAAATAGTAGTTAGTATATAAAAAACATGGAAGGAAAGAATTTTCATAACAATTTACTTCCCAGAATGATCAGTAAGCACAGGAACAATTCAAATACTATTCTAGAAAATTTTACACTGTAATTTTGATATATTTACAAACAAAACCAAAACCTCCAAACAATTACCCAACCACAAAGAAATATCCACAATATAAAACACTTTAATTTTACTAAAAAATCTTCATCATTCCCACACTACCTTCCTAGTCTATTTTAAAATGTGTTTCCAGTCTAGAATGCTAAGGTTTAATGATCACACACTTGAACCGTGGCGCTAACTTTGGTCATATTAGGTGACGCACAATAGTACCAGCAAAGTTAAATGATAGAAGAGTAGAAATTATGAAACAATGCTGCTACCAGTGCACAGGCCCTCCACTAGCTCTAAGTTGGAAATGTAATAGTTTTCTTTAAGAAGCATTCTGAAATAAATCCATAATGAAATAGTGTAACAGTTTATTAGTCAAAGAAAACATGAATAAAAAAATAATAGCTACATTCTAGTAGCCATGAACTTACTCAGCAAAAGGAGGCAGTTCTTCTGAACGAGAAGGCGCTTGGTCACATCCCCAGATGTCAGTGATAGATACGGACAGTTCATCTCCCCTAGTAGCCCACTCACCTCAAGCTGGAATTCTTCAGCTTCACTTGGGCCTTTTAAGAATTAAAATAACCTTAATAAAAAGGACTTTTTCCCATTAGCATAAAAGTTATATACAAATGGAGAGTTTTAATAGTATTTTCCTAGCACAAGTTACTTTACTAATTCATCCTTTCTCACACCACTGCCAATTTTCTTAAGAAGTTTTCATTACAGGGGCACCTGGGAAGCTCAGTGGCTTAAAGCCTCTGCCTTCAGCTCAGGTCATGATCTCAGGGTCCTGGGATCGAGCCCCACATTGGGCTCTCTGCTCAGCAGGGAGCCTGCTTCCCCCTCTCTCTCTGCCTACTTGTGATCTCTGTCTGTCAAATAAGTAAATAAAATCTTTAAAAAAAAAGTTTTCATTACATAAGTCCCTTACTTGAGAATCTTTATTTCCTAATTTCTACCCATCTAATCTAATAATTTGTTTGCCTTCAAAGATTTCTTCATAACCTCTATGCTTCACCTTCCCACGCACATTGCTATAGTAGTACCTATGACATGTAAGTACTAGTTACATTTTACCTCCATACATATTCTATTTGTGCCAGGTCAGTCTCCCCACTGTCCCAAGAACAGTGTTATTTCCACTTCTGTGCCTTCATTTAAGTTATTCCCTGTGGCTGATATACCCTCTACTTTCCCTTCACCTATCAAATCCCACCTCTCCATCAAAGCCCATTGGCTCCTTGATAAGACCTTCCCCAAGTCCTGTTATACTCAATAGTTTCTTCCCCCTGTGAGCCGCAAAGTGAAGCATTTAATTACTGTACTAATCTCCAGTTTCATTTGTGCCTAATATTCCCACTGAGATTAAAGTTAGCAAATAGGACTTGTAGTTCTATATTCCCAAACATCTTAAGTACAGAGTTCATCTTGTGAACCAAGAATAAACAATGCTCCTTCTTCCTTACTATTCTGATGGTTCTCTATCACGCAAGGGCAAAAATCAACTTGACCTGGGTTCATTTTCTTTTTTTTTTTTAAAGATTTTATTTATTTGCAAGAGAGAGCACATTTTCTTTTCTTTTTTTCTTTTTTTTTAAGATTTTATTTGTTTGCAAGAGAGAGCACGCACTAGAGAGAGCAACTGTGAGCAGGAGGGAGAGAGAGAGAGGGAGAAGCAGACTCCCTGCTGAGCAGGGAGCCTGATGCAGGACTTGATCCCAGCACCCTGGGATCATGACCTGAGCCAAAGGCACTTAATTGAGCCAACCAGGTTCCGTGGGTGCATCTTCTCATCTGTAAAATGGGAAGGCTGTATTATCAATGTTTTGCAAGCTGTTCTGTGAACTCAAATTCCACAGAACTCCTTCAGAAATAGCTGCGGAGGATGAGGAGAGTTGTGTAAGAAGCACTCTCTCTTAACTTAAACTAAACAGGTACACCGTTACCTGTTTTGTATGCTGGCGTCTGCATTTTTGTTTGAACAAAGGGGTTCCAGGTTACAAATAGTCGTCATCTATTAAAGGTGTTTTCACAAGTTCCTACAATCTCATAAATGTTAGGTAAAGAGGCAGCTCCCAAACTTGACCGCTGGGGTTGAATTCTGGCTGTATCACGTACAAGTTGTGTGACCTCAGGCAGTTTAACCTAGCTGTGCTTCCTTTTTTAACATATAAAAAAGTAATAAAACCAGGGCGCCTGGGTGGCTCAGTGCGTTAAGCCTCTGCCTTCAGCACAGGTCATGGTCTCAGGGTCCTGGGATCAAGTCCCACATTGGGCTATGTGCTCAACAGGGAACCTGCTACCTGCTTCTCTTTCTCTGCCTCCCTCTTTACCTACTTGTGATCTCTTATCTGTCAAATAAATAAAGAAGTTCTTTAAAAAAAAAAAAAAGTAATAAAACCTGCCTCAGGTTTTAAATGACTTAACAAATGGAAGCTGCTTACAACATATTGTTCAATAACTGTAAGCTGCTGCTGTCATTACTGTAACCTGACAGTGTCCTTCGTAATCTGAACTGGCTGCAACTAACATGCACACATTAAATATCCTGAATATGCAAGAAAGTGAGCTCTTCAAAATGGGATTCTGTGCGGGGGGGAAAAAAAGGGATTATGTGTATAATTCTCCATGAGGGGAAGTTAACAAGAGAGCATTTTTCTTTGTCTCCTATTGTAGGTTTACCTACAGTAGGAGGAAACCAGATGGTGAAGTGTTGGGTTCCAAGCTTTTGTCTCTTTTGCAGAGTCAACAAACTAGTGCTAATACAATAACAAAATTGGCAAATATAAAACAGCTCTCAATGCCTTATGAGATTTATCTCATAAATCTGATAGAGCTGCATCTGGTTGTGATAGACCTGACAATACATTCCTAACGTTTTAAGAAAGTGTTCTCTTTCTCCCCATGTATAACAGGATTATAATGCATTTACTTTACATGCTATATGTACTTTTGGAATCTAAGAAAAACATCCCAATTTCCAATTCTAGCCACTGATTTAAGAACTAACAAGCCAGGGTGCCTGGGAGGCTCAGTGTGTTAAAGCCTCTGCCTTCCGCTCAGGTCATGATCTCAGGGTCCTGGGATAGAGCCCCACATCCGGCTCTCTGCTCAGCATGGAGCCTACTTCCCCCTCTCTCTCTGCCCACTTGTGATCTCTGTCAAATAAATAAATAAATAACTTAAAAAAAAAAACAAAAAACTAACAGGCCATGTTTCACAAAGAATGGAAAGTTCATATATGCTGTACTTGTCTCCCATTTCTGTATCTCAGTAATGGGTCTTTTCAACCATTACAGTGTTTTAGTATTTGCACAACTATAATCTGTTTTCTCAACTTCCAAAATCACTTTATCTCTGAAAATAATGGAGGAAGAAAGTATTTGGGTTTCTTCATAAATCTTTTTTTTTTTTAATTCACAAAAACTTAAAACTTCAGGTTTAGTACTAAAATGTTCAACTGACAATACCCCAATTTTACTTTTATATTTTGTATCTAAAACTGAATGTTTACTTACTGTTAGTTGCTTGCACATTTTCCTCTAATTTACAGAACACTCTTAATTCAGACACCAGCCAAGCACAGAGTTTGGTAAACTCGGGGGAACTGGCTCCAGCAGAGACTGCCTGAGATAGAGCGCCATCTTCCAACAATGGACCCTTGTAACTGGTGAGTAAAAAATTATACTTCAGAATAAAAAAAAAAAAAAAAATCACACCTAATATTTTATACAAACACTATATACATTATTTGTATGAATAAACAATCATTTCACAAGTTACGATAACCACTTTGCAAACTTAAAAATGTAAATAAAATTTATAGAAAACTAAATCTAAAATTTAAATTTTAATCTAATAAAATCTATTAGAAAAATAAGTTACATAACTGCATTTCCACCCTTCAAAATATACATGAATATTTAAGAATTATATATACTACTAAATTATGTCAACTTCTGTACATTATACTGAAAGCTCTTGCTGTACAAAGGTTTTCTTAACTGAATTGAATATTAAAACCCCATTAACAAGTAACATACTGTAACATTAACAAGTGATTATACTATACGATTTCAGAAATAAAATTTAAGTTACCTTTTCTAGAAATTTTTCCAGAAATCAATTAAGTTAGTTTTGTTTTGATACTTTTTTTAAAAGCAAAACTTTCCAGTTAATCATTTATTTCCTTTTACCATATTTAATGACAGTTAAAGCTATTAAGACATACTAGTACAAGAGAAATGTCTGGATTAATTTAAAAGATCAGTAATTGCTGGCAAGTTGATGTCTAGGTGAACTGGTATATCTGAATCCTATTCCTTTGAAAATGATTCAAGCATAATTCTGAAGTATTATTAAATATCGAAACATTCATAAAAGACAATAGTGATATCTAGAATATATCTAGAACTAAAGATCCTGTCATTTTCAGGGTAATTTAAAAATATATATTTTCCAGAAGATTATTTTAACTTTTAAGTGAAATATTGATAAAAAGTTATTGGAGGTGAAACATTAAATATACTTAAGATAATTTGATGTTTGGAAGTATAGAGATGTCAGAGAAATGACAATACTTGATTCTTTTAAAATGTACCTATGTATTTATACACTGAATGGAGTGGGAAAAAATCTTACATAAAAAGTGAGATTATTATAGGGGCGCCTGGGTGGCTCAGTGGGTTAAGCCTCTGCCTTTAGCTCAGGTCATGGTCTCAGGGTCCTGGGATCGAGCCCCTCATTAGGCTTCCTGCTCAGTAGGGAGCCTGCTTCCTCCCCTCTCTCTGTCTGCCTCTCTGCCTACTTATCTCTCTCACTCTGTCCAATAAATAAATAAAATCTTCAAAAAAAAAAGTGAGATTATATATAGTCTGACATCTAGATTCAAACCACATATAATTAGACACTGCAATAAAGACACTAGGCCTAAAAATCTCTCTTTGTGTTACACATTTATAATTTGTTAGTTTAGTCTATAAGTAGTTACTGAATTCCTACCGTGTGCCACATTAAAGACAAAAGATAGTCATTTAAAATTCTAGTATTTCTCAGTGAATCCTTTAAAAGTACATGTCAATTAATAAAGCCTGAATTTTAATGACTGAGTCCCACCAAACTAAGTGGTTAGGCTTAAAATTTATAGCAAAGTTTTCAGAAAATCTGACGGGTTTACATTATAACCCATCTTGAATATTTACTTGATTTACAATTACTATAATAAACTTTTTTTTTTAAAGATTTTGTTTATTGGGTCCTGGAATCGAGCCCCGCATCGGGCTCTCTGCTCAGCAGGGAGCCTGCTTCCTCCTCTCTCTCTGCCTACTTGTGATCTCTCTCTCTGTCAAATAAATAAATAAAATCTTTAAAAAAGAAAAAGAAAAAAGATTTAAGCACTACCACTTCTTTTCCCAAAAACTTCCATCAGGACAGCAAATGACTTAATGGGCAGATCTGAGAACCTGACGGTGTCCCTTCCTAAAGAAAGGTTCCTCCAAAGGTTTCCATGTCATGGAAAAACTTTTGCGGAGGGTTTTGAGAAAGGACTTGTCACTTTATAAATATAGCTAGCTAAATCTATCTATCTATATTTTGGACACCATCTACCTGTAGACAAATATTTAATCACACAATTTGTTTCTGGAAACACACTTGGACCAAGAGGTTCTAAATTCTCATTTTTGGGTTTTTTCTTTTTTTTTTTTTTAAAGGTTTTATTTATTTGACAAAGAGGGAAAGAGAGAACAGGAACACAAGCAGGGTGAGTGAGAGAAGGAAAGCAGGCCTCCTGCTGAGCAGGGAGCCCATGAGGGGCTCCATCCCAGGACCCTGGGATCACGACCTGAGCCAAAGGCAGACGCTTCAGGACTGAGCCAACCAGGCGCCCCTAAATTCTCAAGTTTTAAAGAGTACACTAATCTCAGTGACCCAGTGAGGTAAAAAGCCCTATTTCCAGCTTCTAGGTACTAAATTATGGTTGGGTAATTGTCAGAATAGACGAAATACACAACAAACATGTAGGGACTTGGTGGCTGAAGATGCCTCATAGGGTAAGGGCTAATGGTGGCTCGATGAAGAACTGTGTCACTGTTTAGGAAAACAGCCAGTGAATGGTTCCCATGAAGGTGGTGACAGGTGAGGTGCATAAGAGAGCTGGCTAGCGGAACAGAGGCACACATGTGGCTCAGAGAAGCCGGAGTGCATGCAGAGATGACTGGGCAAAGGAGATTTTTTGGAGAGAGAAATGGGGTGGCTTAGGAATACGGGCTCAAGAGAGGCGCAGGAAGTTTGGAGGACAACTAGGAAAAAAAGAGAATCAACTTTAGCAACCTCTACAGTGAGGGGGTAGGGCAAGAAGATGGGGAGCAAGACGAGAAGCTCAGGGAGGGGGGTGGCAAGAACCCAGAGCCCAGACAATGACACGCATGACTGACAAACGCTGCGGGTAACTCGGCTGCAGGGAGCACACAGCAGGCCTAGGGTCGTCGCTTTAGGAGAGCCCCGGCCCGGCAGGGCTGACAGTGGACGTGGCATTGGGGTCCCAGAGCCATAAGGAGGAGACAGTCAGGAGCCACCGGGTGCGGCGTGCAGAGGCAGGTGTCCCTGACTGGGGCGGAGGACGTGTTCCCGGGGGCCGGCAGTGTGAGGTTTAGGAGACCCGTACCCTGGCAGTCTTACCCTAGATCTTCCAACGACTCCAAGATGTCAGTCTCCATGAGGTCACACTCCATGCTACTGTGGTATTCAAATTTCCGAGTCGTCAGGGTCCCCTCTTCGCCGGCAACGCGTACACTCGCGCATGCGCTGCTTCCCCGGAACTTCCAAATCGACAGCTGGCGCCTCAGCCGCTGCACTGCGCATGTCCCGAGCGTGCGCAAGAAACTCGGTCCTGCCTGCCGCCCCACCCCCGCCGGCTAAAGGGTTGCCGGGCTGTACCGTCCTACACATGCGTAGAACTGAATAGCGAAGCCGGCGGCCCGAAGAAGGGCAGGAGGACTGGCTGCGTGGCAGATGGGCGTGGGGACTCACACCGAGGGGGAGCGCTCCAGCCTCTCTTAATTGGGTGTACGCATGTGCGAATCTTGGGGCGAGGCGGGCGCAGAAAGAGCTTGGGGAGGCGGGGGTCTCAAGACGTGGTGGGTGTTGGCTGTGGAAACGGAGTCTCCGGATATCTGGGAGTCACCCGAGTGGGTGCCAGCCGCGTGCTGGCGTGTTCTCGCCTGAGCTGTGGGTCTTGCAGAAAGGAAAACTCCAGTCTATTTTCTTAGGACAGGCGTAGACTGGCCAGCGCCGAGATCCGCAGATACCGTGCCGTTTGTGACCGCAGTAGCTGTAGTTCGGGATTAGAGAGGCGGCAACTTTCCGTGGCCACGGATGGGTTCAGGAAGTTGTTTAATTCCGTTGCTTTTTCTCCCTGATTTCTTAAGCCCTTTCCAGACATCTTATTCCCAGGCGTCCTCATTTTAAAGAGGTGGTCGAGGGTAGGTGGGGCGTCATACCGTATAAGATAGAGTAACATATATTTAAATCCACACAATTTAAAGAGAGTAAACTTTTCTGTTTTTGACGTTTGGCTCTCTGTGACATTCAACTCACGATAGCTTATGATTCCTTGTCAGTTATTGATTGGGTATGTACTTAGAAATTACTGATAAATGAGGAAAGTTGCTTCCAAAAGTGATGGCACATTTGGAAAATTACATTTAACCACGAGTGGGCATAATGTTGAATTGTGTAGGCATTTAGAGATTCTCACACTGTGCCAGTAAATTTTATTTTATATTCTCAAACATTTTTGTCCTAATGGCTAAATGCTCCTATTCTTAACAGTACTCCTTTTTTTATTTCCTTATTTTGCATTTTCTGGAGTGGGGAAAGGACTTAATATTTATTATGTACCTACCCTGGGTTTGACATGGTATTACCCCTTTGATCCATGTTATTTTACGCAACCATAAGCCTGTGTAAGTTTTACTCCCATTTTACAGATAATGACACTAAGGCTCAGAAGCTTAACGATCTGTTAAAAATCATAAGACTATTAAGGAACTGGATTTTGAGACTGAGTTGTATGTGAATCCATATTCCTTCTGATTTGATTTCACTGGTTTAATAAGGATTTATACGTAGGATATGATAAAATGGGAAGATATAGCTAGTGGAATTTGTTTAAGTCTGTATGTATACTAATTATAATGAAAATGGAATTATTCTTCTAGGGTTGTTGAAGATGCTAACAAAAAGTAATGCTTAATGCAAATTCAACTATGGAAAATAAGGGTATGTTTCTTGACTCACTTGATATAAGTTGTAACATGTAATGTTTGTGAGTGAACAAGTGATAATTCCTCCTAAATTTCTTCTTCTCTCTCTAATGCAATTAAATTATTTAATTTAAATTGAGGGTAGCCAACATAGTTTTTAAAAATAATTTTGTATTTGCTACAATAAAAACAATGCTTTAAAAAGTAAATATTGTCATTCCTATAGGATCTACTAGGAATCTTGTGCACTTTATTTTGAAATACTTTATATTGTAAACTTGTTATCTAAAGACCTCATTCAGGCTGAGTTTAACTGAATGAAAAGAACACTGATCTGGGAGTTAAGTAAGGAGCCCAGGTTTTGGCCTCAGATTAGTACAGGAATGAATTTTCTAATACTTAAAGGTATCTGAAGTCCATCAGGTATTTATGAGAGATGATGAGTTTTCTATGTAGAAGGTGTTCAGCTAGAGGCTGGATGATGACTTGTTGAGGGTCTTGTGAGGAGGGAGGCACAGGGCTTTTTACGAACCCTGGTAACCTTTGATTAGTCTCTTACCCAAAAAGAATGTAAAATACCAGTTAAAACCCCTCCTGGTATCTATCCCTGGGGAGGGCTGGTTGCTGTCTGTTTTAGTTGTCTGTGGCTACTGTAACAAGTGACCACAAAGTTAGTGGCTTATAACAAGACAAACTGGTTACCTTTCAGTTCTGAAGGTCAGATGTCTGAAAGGGATCACAGGCCTAAAATCAGCAAGGCTGCATTCCTTCTGGAGTTTTTAGGGGACAAGCTATTTTCTTCCCTTTTCTAGCTTCTAGGAGCTATCCTCATACCTTGGCTTGTGACCCCTCTCCTTCTTCAACAATCACATCACTCCAGTCTCTGCTTCCTTGATGTCACAACTTCTCTCTTAACTCTCCTCCCCATCTTTCACTTATGAGGACCCTTCCCTTGTGGTTACATTAGGCCAACCCAGATAATCCAGAATCATCTCCCCACTTCAAGATCCTTAATTAAACCATTCCTACAGAGTCCCTTTTTCCACCTAAAGTAACATATTAATAAATTCTGAAGATTAGGACACAGATAATTTTGGGGGATTCATCATTCTGCCTACACACTGCCTTTCCTAGGGAGTAGAAGTCTTGAATGATCTTAAAGACCAGCCTTTCTGAAAAGGCTTTCCAGACTTTCTTGAGAAGTGTAAAGAGAAATCATATTTCATACTTGTGAAAAAAAATACAGAAGGGAAAACTGAAATGAAAACGGATTTCAGTTTTCAGAGGAAAATTTTTTTATGTCATAATCTTGAGTATTATAAGGGAAGTTTTGAATTATATAGTAGTTAAAAATTCATGCAGCTGACATTCTTTAGAAAATTCTAAAATCTATAAAAGGGTAACTTGTATTATGGCAATGAAGTAGGTATAAACTTGAACATAAGATTTGTCATTTGTCAAAGAATGTTCTTCTAAGAGTATCTAAGAGTCAAAAAATAGGCACCTAAAATAAATTATTTTTCTTTCTCAAAAGAATTTGAACAATAACGGCATTTTCCAGTTTTATTTATTTATTTTTAAAATATTTTATTTATTTATTTGACAGAGAGAGATCACAAGTAGACAGAGAGGCAGGCAGAGAGACAGAGAGAGGGAAGCAGGCTCCCTGCTGAGCAGAGAGCCCGATGCGGGACTCGATCCCAGGACCCTGAGATCATGACCTGAGCCGAAGGCAGCGGCTTAACCCACTGAGCCACCCAGGCGCCCCCAGCATTTTCCAGTTTTAATGAAATTTCCTTTAGAATAACCTTCCAACAAGGAAAAAATAAAGACCATAGATTTGTTCATGTTGCTTATGAAATGAGAGTTCGTATATGCACTAAATAAAGTCCTTTTCAGCTTGCACAGCAGAACAGCACTCCCCTATTTGCATTTAGAATTTATCTTATAGGGTCTCAAGTAGTCCCACTTTATTATTTTTTAAATATTCTATTTATTTTTTTAAAGTAGGCTCCATACCCAACGTGGGGCTTGAATTCAACAACCCCAAGATTAACAGTTAAATGCTGCACCAACTGAGCCAGTCAGGTGCCCCTCAAATACTCTTACTTTAGTGAAGAATGCTTGTTTTTGAATCATTCCCCTGGCTATGTCAGTATATTTTCAGTTAGTATATAGTCTATCTTAGTATATTTCTGACCATGTTAGTATATAGTTGGGCAGTTTTAAGAGACTATTAGAAAATTTGAGAACAATATGTTGTCTGTGTTTGAGGAAGAGGTTTAGGTGTTGATGATATAAATGATATAACCAGGTCTTTCTTTTTTTTAATTTTTAATTAATTAATTAGGTTGGTTGGTTTGTTTATTGAGAGAGAAAACGCCAGGGGGAGGGGCAGAGGGAGAAGGAAAGAATCTTTTTTTCTTTTAAAGATTTTTATTATTTTTTTTCAGATTTTATTTATTTATTTGACAGAGATCACAAGTAGGCAGAGAGGCAGCCAGAGAGAGAGGAAGGGAAGCAGGCTCCCTGCTGAGGGGAGAGCCTAATGCACCCTGGGATCATGACCTGAGCCAAATGCTGAGGCTTTAACCCACTGAGCTACCCAGGCGCCCCCCTTTTTAAAGATTTTTTATTTATTTATTTGAGAGAGCGTGAGAGAGCATGAGTGGAGAGAGCGGTAGAGAGAGAGGGAGAAGCAGATTCCCTGCTGAGTAAGATCAAACCAGGGCTTGATCTCAGGACCTGAGCCAAAGTCAGATGCTTAACTTACTGAGCCATCCAAGCACCGCAAAAGAGAGAAAGAATCATATTCTCCTCCTCCTCCTCTTCCTCCTCCTCCCCTTCCTTCTCCTCCTCCTCCTCCTTCTTTTAAGGTTTTATTGTTTGAGAGAGAGAGCATGAGTATTGGGGCAGAGGGAGAGCGACAAATAGACTGCCTGCTAAGCTGGGAGCCAGATGTGAGGCTCAGTCCCAGGACATTGGGATCATGAGCTCAGCCAAAGGCAGATGCCCAACCAACTGAGACCCCTAAGCACTGTGAGAGAATCTTAACCAGGCTCCATCCTTAGCGTGGGGCTTGATCTCACAACAGTGAGATCAGGACCTGAGCCGAAATCAAGAGTCTGAAGCTTAACCTCCTGAGCCATCCAGGCACCTTGTTTGTTTGTTTGTTTGTTTATTCTAGGTCTTTGTGGATAGAAGCTCCAAACCTGATTTCTGTTGTCTACCCGGTGATACTTCAGCCTAGTTGCCATGTCCTGCCAATATGTAAATCAGGCACATGGTGAACCAGACAGACACTGGTCTAATTTGGGTGCAGTAAAGAGTTTTTAGACTCTAGCCCAGAGGTGATAAACTAGTGTCCGAATCAGCCCAAGAGTCATTTTTTTTTTTGTTTGGCCTAAGTAATATCTTAAAGAATTTTGAGTCATTTAAAAGTTTGAGGATATTATCTAAAAATGCAGATTGCTGGATTTTCTTGAAAACATAAAACAGAGAACTTGGCAGCATCAAACTCCTATTGCTCATGAAGGCAACAATTGACTTGGGTTGAGAGAGCTGCCCCTTATAGGTC